CTGACAACAGAATTGTAGTTGCTGTTTGTTGTGTAGTTGGCAGTGGTGGCGCAGTTTGGGTAGATACAACACAGAGTGATCATTAGATCCAAAACACAGGCGCCCAAGCTGTCTTCACCTGACGGTTACAGACTTGGAGACACGCCTTCACAATACTGCACAAAACCCATGCAGTAGAATAGAGTCAGTTCTTGCATACAAATCCCAACACCATGTACAGTCTCTGCCAGACAGGTGGTGTCGGCGCACCTACGTACGACGTACGTGTGGCCTGCGACTGTCCATCTCCGACCTACGGAGTATATTGCTGTCATACCCATCTCTTCCACAGAGAAGAATCCGTGGCAGATTAACAATGAACATTTGACATTTTGCGGTATTGCACTGCGACAAACTTAATGTTGTTGCGGTTCCCCGAGCAGCACAAAGCGATATTTCCCCTGTGGGTGAAACCTCTTGTGACATTTGCACTTCCATCCAGGGCTGACCTATCCGCATCATCAATCAGATTGTCAGCAGGCCAGCGGGTGTCATTCTTTTCTTGGTCTCAGCAATTTCGTCGATCTGTCTATGCGCGGTTAAGCGGTGAGGGGATGGACCTGCGTTTGGTTACTCAAGTGCTTCCTTGCGACGAGGGTTCAACAGATCAGTAGTTTTCCTCCCACCTTCCTTCTTTACAATGTGTCCTTGACGCGGAGGATGCTTTCCATGGTCATACGCGAAAGGGTGCACACTAAAAGCCCCAGTCCAGTATCACGAACAGAAACGAACGCAAGACATAGGAAAAGCAAGTGGCGTCATATTTGTAACTGGCATCGAGTGGGCCAGGCATACAACCGACTGGCCGGAACAAGCACATTAAAAACGCCCGCACTACAATGTTCCCTGTCTTCGTGGACATCCTCATTCACGTTCTTCCGCACTCCTCCAGGATTTTGTGTGGGATGACGTTCGTCCCAACGTATTCTAGCAGCAGCATAAACTACTGCTTTCGTTTTGTACGTCCATGTTCGACGTACAGCACTGGAGAACAACAGCCAGAGACCGGTGTCTCTCGTAAAAAGCACCGCCGAAACGAATAAGCCCGGCCGAAGAAAGCTGGCGACAATCGTCGCCGGTGACACATCGGGTAACGGAGGAACCACAACAAGTATAACCCATCGATACAAGGTAGGCACGGCGGCGTTCTGATTGGTAAAAACACCTTGTGGCAAGCCTTCCGACGCCCGGTGCCCCGTGCGACCGCGCCATCGCGACCCAGCCATCCCAACCGGCTCCGGAGGCGGCCCCACCTCCCCTGCCCCCCTAGACTGGACTGCCTACGCAAAGTAATACTTCAGTAAGTTCAGTGCGATGAAAGACCAGCCAAAAGGGAAGCAGACCCCAAACCTAACCCCGACAGAGCCGATTGATTTGATATACTTTACCCAGGATGTATGCTTACTTAAAAAACTTGCGTAGGACTACTGACTATGTAGACAAATGTACCGTCCAGTTCAATTTTATACTTGAACCAACTACAGTTTATGCTCCTTGTTTTGGCGCGTCCGCCAAACAGATACAGGAGCATTTTTCACTGTGAGACAAAGAAAATGAGAAATCCAGCCGAACCGCTTGTTTTTACCAAGGTGTGAAACCCGGTTCTGCGTGCGCCCGTATCCTCCGGCAGACCGACTCCCTGCAAAAAAAGAGCGAACCAATCCCTCCCTTCACGGGAATCCCATGATTCTGGTGATTGTTGTTGGGGTTCTCGAACCGCAACTCACGCATGCCCACCGAGAGCCTTGTTTCCAGTCTTACGAAGGAACTATGTAGACGTCCGACTCTACACTCACAAGACCGACACACAATGCAAACGACAGATCTCACACGCGTTTCAGTGGTGAAAGAAGACGTCCCACTCCACGCCCAAAGGAAACGCCGCGGAATGTTTGTCCCAAAGGGTCTTGTCCACCGTCATCTTCTTGAGGCCTGTCGGCCACTCCACCCCGGCGAGAGATAGACCATACTCCTGCCCATCTACCCGAAGGTTGAGCTCTTCGAGGTCAGGCGCCCACCGTCCTATCCCATGCAGGGATTGATTGAACCACCGGCCTAAACGGAGATACTCGAGAGACTTGAGCCAATCAGCTTCTTGATCCATGGGATGGTCGAAGTCGTCCCCGAAAGCCAGCTGCTTCAATGAGGCCGGCCAGGCGACTCTCTGAACTGGCTGGTTAAACTTTAGCCCGAACGTAAGCTGCTGCAGGGATGCCGGCCAGAGAGTTCCTTCAATCGGCTGATCGAACTCGCGACCAAACGTGAGCTGCTGCAGCGACGAAGGCCACGTTACGCCCTTGATGCTCTGGTTAAAGTTTCCCAAGAACGCGAGCTCCTGCAGCGAACTCGGCCACGACACGTCTTCGACGCTCTGGTTGAAGTTGCACCCGAAGGTGAGCTGTTCCAGCGACGCCGGCCAGCTCGCCCTCGCGATGCTCTGATTGAAGTAGTCCCCGAACTCGAGCCGCCTGAGCTTGCGCGGCCACGCCACGGCACCAATGGCGCGGTTGAAACCCCCATCGAGAATAAAGAAATCAACTTCCGCAAGAGCGTAAATAGAGGCACTCAGCTCAACGCACGACTGGCGGTGCCAAGTCACCTCGCGGGCATGGAACCGCGGCACCCGCGAACGGCCACACTGACAGGGGCCGGCGGGAGCAACAACGGCTTCATTACCGCCAACATCAGCGAGAAGCCGGCGAGGGATGCTGTCGTCGACCGTGAGGCACAGGGTAACCGAGTCCCGGCAGGCTAGGCAGAACGGCAGCGACGCCAGCTGGAGCTGCGTGGTCGACACGTACCAGCTCTCGCGGTCGAGGCAGGTCTGCTGGAGGGCCACCCGAAACGCTTCTAGACACCGGCTGCTGATGCTGCTGCTGCTGCTGCTGCTGCTGCTGCTGCTGTGGCAACGACCGTCTGCCAGTGGCTCGAACGAACCATCCATGACAAATTGATATGAATAATAAACAAGAGAAAATTGAGTCTCATGGGATGGAAGACGAGATTGCTCGGACGCTGGCTCAATTTCCATACTTCGTCCAACATATACATTAAGAGAGCAACCTTTCCGCCGTCTAGGTCTCGTGCATCCTACTGTTACAAGTAGAGGGTACCCTGAAGGCGTCCACTGATGGACACAGGCTGCCGCTGCTGTCGCTGTGACGACCGCCTGACGGGGGCAACGAACCATCGATACCACCTGACGTGAGTTTCGGAGTAGTTTTTCTCGCCCTTCGCTCGTGAAAGTTTTGGAATATTTAATGCGAATGTTAGTGACGTCACCCAATATGAATGCCGGCCTGAATGAACAGCTAGGCTAGTACGGTGGCGGTAGCACCAAGCACAATGACGAAGATAATTAAGCGTGAAAAAAATCGTGTTCGATTGGAAAAAATACTCCACAACAACGGCCGGAAACCGTTGTGTGCGGCTACTTGGCGGTCAACTACCATCGCGAAATAATGCCACGCGATGCGCAAAGCTGGAGTATTCTTTATTAAAAGTAGAGTCAATGCACCTTCGACGGCGATTGTAAACCTATTCAATGGCAGCCTCATTGAATAGCGCACACTGGCCTCTACCGACCGATATCACACCTGGTGTTAGAGCGTTAGCACTAACCCTAACCCCAACCCTTACAGGCCGATATCACACCTGGTGCTAGAGCGTTCTCACCGATCGACAAGATGCTGACCAATCAGCGTCTAGATTGAACATCAGGCAGCCACCCGCTGTGCCGATAACGCACACGTGAAGCGTTGCTGGCGCAAACGCACTTGTGAGGGAATCAGTTTCCTAGCGACGACCGCGATCCCGCTCTACATGTCCATTTTCACCAAAACAAATACAATGCCTTGTTGCTGTTGTTGTTGTTGCTGGCTAGCTGCTGTTGCTACTGCTGCTGCTGCTGCTGCTTTGGTGGTGGTCGTGGTGGTCGTGGTGTTGCCTTCACTACAAAAACAGTTCCACTCTCTACAGAGGCCTTCATGACCCGTACGTACCTTTCTCAGGCTCCACGTCGACAGCAATCCTATCGACCTCAGCGCTCATCTCAGTCCACGCACCACCCCTCACTCGGTAGCTGCTTCAGGCTGCACGCAATGACAACAGACGGTAATACAGGGCGAAGGAGGAAACGGCAATACGGGGTCACTCTCAGCGACAGCCACACGTTGGACGGCGGAATCGGAAGTCTCTTCGGCGCACCATTCTTCATCCTGAGATAGAGGAAGATATGCATATCGAGAGAGACAGACAGAGTCACAAAGAGAAAGAGGAGGAGGGAGAGAGAGAGCGAGAGAAATGACGAAAGATAGAGAGAAAGAAAAACAGAGGCAGGGGCAGAGAGACAGAGAAAGAGAGAAAGAAAGAAAGAGAGCGAGTGGGAAGGCTTTTGAGGCCCTTGGCTTCAAGCCCCGGCCGTAACGAAAAGTCTGAACATAGGTCGAGGCACAAGCAAAAAGGCAGTTCTTCAGCCGAAGAATGCGCTTCCCCCTCACAGAATGTCGCCGTGTACACCGTACTTGCCAAAGATGGGGTAGTACACAGAAGTACAAACCCTTGGACAGACTATGACGTCGTAATCGGTAGACCAGGCGTGTCACAGGGCCGTAGCAATTATGCTTCCAAGACTGTTAGCCGGCAGAACCGGGCGCAGTCACACAACCGGGCTATATCAACCTGCGAACAATCCACTGACATCCAAAAGCTATCGGTTCGCTGGGATCAAATCCTAGAGGTATGCAATAGATGCTTTATGACACCCCGCGGGCAATAGTAGGCCAAGACAAAGCGATAATACCCAGGGACGACCTCGAACCTAGGCGGGCACCAAGAAAAGAAATTGCGGCGAAATCAACAAGCGCTTTGTTTCGGCGGGTGTGCACAGAGCCCGTGCAGCGGGGTAGGAGAAGACTAGATCGTGAAACGTAGACTTGGGTTGTGTTAGAGTAGTCCTCGCGGTTTGTTGCTGATGCAAGATTTTTTTTTCCGTTTCTCATTCCTCTGGGCGTCAGTCCTAACGCCGTGCGGGATACAATTTTCTGGACACAACCAGCCGGGCCCATGTGTTACGCCAAGAGACTACTACCGTAATTGTGCGTGTTATTGCACCCCCGTTTTAGCGTTTTTTTCTATGGCGTACTTCTCCACAACTAGGAGGGTGCGAACACCAACTGATACCTCTACGGAAATCCCTCGACGAGGTGTTTCCAAAACCACCCTTTTCGGAGGTGACACCTTCCCTGGTTGTGGAGAAATACGCTATAGGAAAACGGTAACACGGGGGGGCGGTAACACGCACAACTACGGTAGTCTACGCACGTTTTTCTTGGCAACGCAGGCATCTGGACAAAGTATAGGATCGGCCAAGTCGGGGTTGGGAGGCAACCCGGTCACACAGGAGAAAGGCCCACGCACAGGAGAGATTTCTGAAACAACTTTCCACCGATGAAGTCGAAACGCTGCATATCACAGCGACGAATCGAAACGGCCGGCCAACCGTATGATGTGCAAGGACCTTGCTCTTCATCAGTCCCAACAGCTGGTCGGCCAGCGAGACATACCGGCGGCGGGTGTCTGCTCTCTGCTCTCTGCTACAGCAGCGGTGTGCGGGGATGTTTCAAGCCGTCCCCGCCGCTAAAAATGCCGCCCGAACTCTCTAAAACTGCTATCTGTGAACCGCGGGTGACGCAAGATACCACACCTCCTGGACCGATTTTCAAGGCTCGCTTACTCCACGACGAAGAGGATGCACAAATGAAACGATGTGCTTTCGGAAAGCTCTCTACTACGCGGCTTCAACAACGCCATTTGTCGGCGCTGCCATTCTGCTTTCTGCAGTGATATGCATAAGAGCTTTGAAAGGGGTGGGGTATCTTGTGTCAGATACGGTACGCTAGGAGCTCGGGCGCGCGCGGCACGTACGTGCTCTCCCCATTCTTCTGTTGACTTTCATCTGTGTCTTTCCTAGCGTTCAGGCACCGTACCACAGAGGTCATGTGGGTCTTGTCTCAGCGATGGTGGACCGTCGCAGCCAAACAGCGGGGGGGTTGTCAAAAACAACGCGAAGCTACACCGCCCGCTGTTCCTCTTTGGGAGCAAGTAGTGATGCAGGTGTCTTGTACCAAGAAGCAGCGGCCGCATTATAGACTAACTGATTTTGGATATCTTGGTTAGCATGGGTTGGTTTTGTCTCGAGACGTATGATACCACACGAAAACACGAACCGAACAGCACTCGTATCCCTATCTACAATACTGCTCTATCTACATCGCATCACTGCTGTGATCACTGCAGTGCGCGGACATACTGCTGTGCATACATTCTCTGATGGACTGAGATCTGTCACACCCTCAAATTTCAGCGGGCTCCGAGAACGCCTGTGCACCACAACCACCACCACCCTTTACCACCCTTCCTCTCTCACCTCCTTCCTCGACGCCCAAGGCAAGATGAAGTCAAGCGAGCAAGTGAGGTCAAGCGCAGCAAGTGTTCCGCTGCGTACCATACCACCCAACCCGGCATGACTCCTACTGTCGGAGCCCCCGTAGAAAGTGTTCAGGAGGGCACGTGGATTGCAATCCCCCGCACCTATGCCACCCCCCCCCCCCCCCCCCCCCCCCCCCCCCCCCCCCCCCCCCCCCCCCTCCCCCAGGATTTCGCCTTATCGTGATTTATTAGCATAGGTGTATGGGATTGCAATCCCCGTGCCCTCCTGGATTCTTCAATATTTCGCCCGGTCAGCCGGTGGTTGGCGGTTGGGATTCGTGCAGCGCCAAGGTCGATAGTTGAATATTCGACGACATTCCCAAACCGAGTTATTAGTGGTAGAAAGCGCTCCACCAACGGTTCCAACACAGCATGTTGAATCTCCGATGTCTGTTCGTGTGCATACTGCGATATCATACTGCGGTACAGGAGGGCATCTTCGAGGCAAAGGTATATTGTCTTGACAATAGAAACCGTTCCGTTATCTCTGCCCAACCTTCTTCTGTCCGCACTAGTCTAACGCTTGACGGGGTCGATTCCCGTGGTCACAGGCTAACTTACCCAAAAAGGTACAAAAAAATTCAAGTGGGCCCGCAGGGTCCGCAAGCCAATATAAGTCAATGACAGATAGTCTAGGCCACTCCGCTCGCTTCTACACACAATGCGAGGTTACGCTAGATGAGAAAAAGGAAGAAAAACAAGAGAGCAGATGGAGAGAAGGGATAGAGAAGGAGAAGGACACAGACAGAGAAAGACACGCCGTAGCGACAAGCAACAAGCAAACAGAGCAACACAAGACAACACAACACACAACCACAAAGCGGGCCACCCGAGCCAGCAAATGCACGTCATCGCTCGCGGGGGGTTGGTGCAATGACTGGTGCAGTGCCGGGGGGGGAGGGGGCGGGGGGGTGATACTCTTATGTTTTGCGTGCCTTAGCGGTTAGACCATTGACCACGCGTCCTCGAGAGGACGGAGCGTTGTTCCCACAGGACCGATCACCGATGGCCAATCGTGCCTTTCTACTTCGCCAAAGGTGGCTCAAAAATGTCTTCCCCAGTCTGTCTATTCTACCGATATCCTTCCCGCCTGTTCAAACCACTTTTCCTGCTCCCCAGTACAGCTACCGTCCTTTCCTCTCTATTCCATGCCTCAAACATCTCCCTGTACGTCCTATCTATTTTTTCCAGCTCAGTCACGTACACTTCCCTCTCCAGCTTGTACCACTGACATTCCGCGACTACATGAACACGGTCTTCGCATTCGAAGCCGCAATCAATTTTGAAGTTGTCGGCTTCGTCGTCTACCGTGNCGAGAGGACGGAGCGTTGTTCCCACAGGACCGATCACCGATGGCCAATCGTGCCTTTCTACTTCGCCAAAGGTGGCTCAAAAATGTCTTCCCCAGTCTGTCTATTCTACCGATATCCTTCCCGCCTGTTCAAACCACTTTTC